TTCGCCCGATATTTTAAATACGATGGTGATGACGTTATAAACCAGATTCCAGCTGGTTCGATAAGAGTAGCGTGGCAACACGTCATAATTAAAAAGCCTCGATGATGCAATAACCGCGAAAGAAAGAAGAGGAGAATTGATTCGTCGGTAGGTCAACGATTATAATAGCACGAGATCGACAACCTGAAATATCCTTCGAGCTTTCCTGCTTTCGATCGATGTAATTTGTGTTATCGTCGTTCGTACGTGTTATCTGCCCAATACACCTGTCGACTTGTTTGCCCGATTGCAAACCAAAGATAAATCGCGGACAACTATTTTCGAAAGGCACGAAAAAATTTACGGAAAGTATCTGTAACATTGCATGTATAATTAGACGAACATTTTTCTCTGATCGTCCATAGAATATTTATTTTTTCTATTTTCCCCGTTTGTCGAGAGAAAGCCAAGATATCTTTTGGTATAAATATCGAACTTTTGGTCATCGCGTCGCAAGACAATTTTCCCGGACAAGTTTCGCTTTCGTTCGCGTTCGATCATAAAAAACCTGAATGTAAAGTATGCTCCATCGAGAATCGTCGATTCGAGCTATCTTTTACCTACAACAATTTCTCCGTCTCTCAAGGAAATGGAATATCGGAGCATCCTAGGGCGAGAAGAGGTCGACGATGCACGTGGTGCAGCGCGTTGCACCGTAGGCAACTCGCGTCCTTTTTCCCGCAGCGCACGAAAGTTAGAGACAATAGGTACGTGGGCGCAGCATCGCGAACCCTAACCTTAGGTGATCCCATATTCCGTTCTCTGCCTTCTCTCCCGTTGAACGCTCTCCGTTGTCTCTCTTCCATTCGATTCCTTTCTCGCTCTTCCATTTGCAAACTCTCTTGTGTTAGGTCGCAGAGCTAGAGAAGCTATCCTCCTCCTCCTCTCCCCCTCGCCGCCTCATTGCGCCTTACCTCACCTGCACCTTCTCAGGTATTTCTCTTTATCTCCGGAGTGGCGAGAGTGCCGCTTGCGAAATCCCAGAAGTCTGCGCCCTCCGCGCCGCGCCGTGCGCGCACGCTGCGCTATGCAGCCGCCTCGTGGCGTGCCACCGATCAAACTTGAGCTACGTGCAAGTACACTCTGGCGCAACCTACGATTCCTTTGGATCCCTATCCATGGTGCAGAAGGGAAAGGAGCACCCTTCCGAACTTTCCCTTTAATCGCTAACAACCGACTAAATACTCGGATAACGGACCGTCCGACAACAGTTCACGTTTGTCATCGTATAACCGCGTGATGACAATTTTACTCTTTCTTTTTTGTTCGTTTTGTCAGACCGAATCGTACCGAGATAACGAAGCTTTCACGAATTTCACAACCACCTAAATCGCGGTCAACTTACTCTCGATAGCGACGAATTCCCGATATAGTCTAAATTGGGTTTCTATTTTCCTCCTTCGTTGGCGATTACATAACCGAACAGCGTTATCCGTCTCGGAAACCATGCTGGTCTCCTTATTTAGGATATTTCGTAGGCACAGGTAATTCGATTATCATTGATCGGCCGTAATCTGGCCGTCTCTGGAATAAGGGTTGGCCGTAGCGAACGAATGCGGGCCACGGGAAAGCATTGTTGCGTATTAGATTTCAGGTTGGGAATACATCGATCGGACATTCCCAGACAAAGGATATCCAGCGTTGAAAGCCTTTACAATGCATTAACGTTCCGTTTCTACCGCGAAACTATCATTCGTCTGCGTTGTTATTGTTCTACTAAAATCCATTAGGCGTAGCGTTTCGCTTTCGCGTGGCCAGTTTGCTCGGATACACCCGAAAACTTCTTTCTCACGAGCCTATTGTTGTAAAATGCCACGACGAACAAACGAATCGAAGATCAAAAACGATCTCGCAAAAGATTCTGCGGGGGTGTCCCGATCGAGACGAATCGATGATCCACCGATTCGATCACCGTTACGTTCCGCAAGATGCAATTGTGCAAAAGGTAACGATCGGTTTTCTTTTCCGTGTGGAATGCCGCGGAGAAGGTGCATTCTGAGCGCACCCACCAGGAGCTCGCGCGAGCGCGAACCAACGCGTCGCGAGACGCAACAAGGACAATGATACTGCCACGATATAGAAATCTACGAGCACGGGGGAACGATTGTGTGCGAATCGGTGGTGAGATTGCCATTGCCCGTCGTAGAAGAAGGAGCGAGGATGATCGCGATAAAGAAACAATCGAACCGCGTCTCCGCCCACGGGTCCGCCAACATTCAATTGTGCCTCTGCCATCTCATTCCTCCGCTTCTGCTTCTCTTTCTCTCCTTGAATTACTCGGACCCACAGACACGTCTTGGTACTCTTAACGGTACAACCCCCGCAGAGAATGGTCCCGCGAGCTCATTGTTCCAGACAATTCGAACGGTTTTTACCTCGAACGCAGGTAGGCTTCCTTCTTGCCGTGTAATTACTAATTTCTGCGTTAGCCGATCTTCACGGTCTGAACAGACCGTGGGGGAGACGAAGATGGGGTGAAAATGATACCGAGTCGAACGCGCGAAAGATTTCCATGGGTCCACAAATTTTTTAATCACCCGAATACGCGTTGAATACGAAAGAACCATGTACAAACAAAATGAAAATGTGAAAAATTGAACTCGAGGCTGTTCCTCCTGGTATCGCACGAATCGATTTACCTCTACCGGTTCATTTCCATTACTAAACGTTAACTTCTTATGAGCTATACATCTGTGTCAAACTTCCGTAAGTGTTTAAAAAACCATCGTAGAAGTACAGTCGATTCTTCGTGACATAACCACGCCATACCTACACCCCTTTTATACGCATACATCTATGTACTGTAGATACACGTATTCGCGTAGAACCTTGTTTCGAACAGAAGTAAGCGGAAAATTGAGAATCGAAATGAATCTCGCTGCGCAACCCCTATTTATCCCTGACAAGCGATCCATCAGCATCGTAACAAGAAACGTCGATAGTTAAATAAAACGAAGGGGAATGTTCTCGGCCTTCTAGTTGTTCTTCGTCATTATCATCATCCTCCTCGTCCCCTGCGTCTCGTACCGACGGCTCTTCCGCCGCGAAACAGACTTTCGAAATCGACTAGTCGCGTTCGATTCGTGCCACTCGCTTCGCTATTCAACGGAGCATCGGCGTTTTCCGCGACGTGCAAAGGTCACCCGCAACAGGCCGCGGCGTAGCTACGCTCTCGGGAAAGAAGACGCGAGTCACCCGCGTGTACTCTTACAAGATGGGGAGGTCAGGTAAGGTAACTGGTAACCCGGCTCTTCCCTCTTGCCTCTCACCTTCGCGTTTTATGTTGCAAACTAGTACTCGTCTGTTTAGTAATACCCGATGGTAACCGAGCGCACAAGCTTCGAGAGGCCGTGCAAACGCTCCGCTCGAAAACGATAGTCCTTTTAAATTTAACCCTGAAAACACGTTGCTGTAGATAACAACCCCCGTGCGCGGTTTTCTTCTCTTCCAACTTTTTTATTTTTCACATACGCAACGATATATCCGAAACTTTTCTATTCGCGTGCAACGGCGCGCGTGATATCGCCAAATATCAGCGAAATTTCAACTCTATGGCAGCCTATAGGTGTTCGAGAAAGTCATTCGCGATGTACCATAGTCACGGACGAGCACGCATTGCTGGTTGATTACCTAATTTCCAGATACCCATCGTTACTCTTGCTTCCGAGGTAACATCGTCCTCTCCTCTTGATCGTACTCGCCGTTGTCTAGAGAAATCATGACGAGAGAAAGAAAGAGGATTGAAAAAAAACACGCAAGAAGAAGAATCGGTGCGATATCGCGATGCAATCATCGTTCCTTGGAACGATGATGAATCTGCATTATTCAAAGACACGATGAACACCGAGTACAATATGGAAACGAAAGTGTTGTACGTAGAGCAAGGCATCGTCATCCTCGTTCTAGGCTACATCCTAACCATTTTGCAACCCCCCGCTGACCGAACGCCATTTTTCGATACCGATTATTGCACCGATCGCACGTTCTTGATGTAAACAGTGTCTAGGATAGGCACTTTAATGTGATACGAACGCGTGGGAACGCCTTCAAGATATGTCTAAACGCTTTTCTTTTCGTTTATTCCCACGTATCCGTACCAGTGAATTTACTGTAATCGATAATCAAAATCATTTTTTAACGAATATACATGCACATAACATACTCTAAATGGTATGACTACCAACTACCGCGCGAGAACAGCTCGCCAACTTATAACCAATAACCAATAAAATTAAAAGAAAATTATAACGCGCATCGATTGAATGATGCCTCTCGCGTTTACGAATTACTTGATACTCGGTAGGAAAAGGATATTATGTACGAAAAGATTTCTACCACGTTTTAACAGGGATTTCCAGGTAAATTAACGCGCAACAGCACGTACGCGTAAAATATGAAACTCGCGTATCGTGTAGGATTAGTGATACCGGTGCAACAACTTTCTAGAGTATAGTGGAGCCAAAAAAGAGCAACGGACACCAATGACGGTGGGTGAACACCGGCTACCTGCTGGCTGGTGGAAACGATTTCTTTGAGAATATCGAACGTTACACAATCGCGCTGCGATTGTGCATATTCAGTAGCGTTTACAATGCGGGACGGTCAGAATCGATTTCATAGAGAATTACTCGGAATCGAGGGGAGTGAGCAACGAGACTACACAACCTGAGCCGACTGAGAATACCTATCTGTCCGTGATTTTTCTGATCTGCGAAATTTCGATTTCCATGACGCAATGCTCGCGGCAGGATCTCCTCGCGTAGATTTTTCGAACGACCTCGTCGAGCACCCGTTTGCTTCCATGCTAAGCCATTTTTTCGAGACAACCTTCAACCACCGCGACTTTATTTGCTCCGAATTTTTTACAATTCTTACGTAAATTTTAAAGATAAGAATTACAAAGAATCGATGAGTCTTTGCGGGGGGGGACGAAGGTAGAAAGTAAAAATAAGCAGACAACGTTGAATGATAAGGCAATCAATGTTTTATAGGTGAAGCGTTGTATCGGGACGGTAATGATCGCGTCCGTAATTATTATTATTATTTCTTTCTATACAACACAGAGCAATTCGTTCCGATGATTTAATGCTAAAGTGAACACCGATGGGTCAAGATATCTATAATATACTCGTTGGAAACTGTGATTCGTTTTTTCCTCTCTTCAAAGAGTCTTTCTTTTCTAGAAAATACCAGTCTCCGTGAACGGCATAAAATTATTGATTAATCGAGTTGTTGACTCCACGCATGCAACGAGCTTCATCGGATCGTTTCTTCCGATTGAGCAGACAGGACGCGTAGGTAGATCGCGGTGTATACTTAGGGTAGAAACACAGGTGCTTCCTTTCGAGCACACTTCCTCCTTTATATAATACGATTACGAGGTAAGACTAAGTTTAAAGTACTGTCGATCGAGTCTTGATGTTGAGTGTCTCGTCATTGACGACACGTTGTTCGTTCAGTTCTCCAAGAAGGACACGAATTGCGTGAGTTTGCGCAGCTGATCCTCCGTGAGACCAACTTCACTGGCCACGTTGCATTCTTCTTCTTTCTCGATCTTGCACGGTTGTACCATCGTTCCGTCTATGGTCCATCCTCTCTCGATGACAAGTCGACGAGCTTCTTCCAACGACAGACCCGTCATCGATGCGAACACGGTCAAGCCCAATGACGAATACGCTTTGGATATCAGGGTGATCGCTCTTTCTCGAACGTTATCTGAAAGATTTATCGACAATCGGTACAGATATTGTTTCTGTTATTCGCCTATTTCGAACAATAATTTCGATTCAATTTAAATCTAAAAGCATCCGTTAGATAAGCCCGGAACGAGCTCAAACGCTACTTTGAAAAATTATTTTTAGATAATTCTTTGAGATTGAATGTCAATATAATCAGGATAGTTCTGGCTGCCCTGCGATGCATGTACCTTTTAAAGCAGCCATAATATCGGACACGTCGTCGCTCCACTTTGCGTTAAGGGCAACGTGAACCGCGGGCCAATCCCTTTGCCACATGCGCTGCCCTACCACCCATATCTGCTTAAGCTCCGCACTTCCGCTCTTCAAGTCCGATGGTATTCGTTTCCATAGGTACTTGGCATTGCATCTACGGCGGCGATTTTTCGATCAAATAAATATGGATCGAATCTTGTACGCGTTTCGTAAGGGCACGGTCAAAACAAAAACAGAAACTAAATGTATTCTCGAAATCTCTTATTCGTTTAAAAAGGGAAAGATAATATCCAAACGTTAAAATAAAAGATGCGTTTAATATCCAGTGACAACAATTAAATCAAAATAAACATGAAATCGTGTGATACAAAATCAAATCGGAAATAGTTGTTACCGAACGAATTATAAATGAAAAAGAAGAAAATGACAATTTTAAATTACCCGCTATTGATTGCCGGTAAAGAGGATAATGTAAAAAAAGAAATTTATAAATAATATACACTTAAATTATAAACTAGTTATAATATTTTACAATTGACAAAATATAATTAAACAAAATAATTGTTTTTATCAAAATTAATATAACATATATAGATGGCGCCAGCGTACACTATACAAATAATAATTTTATTACAAAATTAACGAGATAATGTCGTACATTGTAAACTTAAATAATAAAACGATAACGAGATTTTTATAGTTTGCGCCTGAATAATTAAATACAAAAATAATTAAAACTATCGATGGAGGTTAGAATTTTGTACTTACAGATCATTTTGATAAAGATATATAGCTAATAACTGTGCATACGTCTGTGCTGTTGCAACTCCACTTGGAGCCTGTACAGAAATATACGAGTTCATAAATGATGATGAATTTCGAGAGAATTTAATAAAATTGATCATAGTCGGTATAACCTATAATAGCAATTGAACGCTGCACTTACTTCCAATTCAGTTTTTTCTAATTCTTGAAGAAGTTTGTTCACGTCGTTTAGTATCATGACGAAACTTTGTTATTTCCACAGCGAACAAAACGATATTGATACTATAGTATTAAGAATACACGCCAACATTGAAATAAGCAATGTCAAACAAGAAACCTAAACAGCTGAGGACTGAACGCATACACAACGCATACTATCGGACTAATCTTTTTTTTTTAATCATAGAGGGCAGCATTTAATAAATCGACTAAATCGACTTGAAATGATTATTATTGTGATTATTTAAAATTACTTGTTTTCGAATTCCTTGTTGAAGACTGATTATAAATAAATTTGATTTTCTTCGAGAAAAGATTTTCTTCGTTATACGTATCAAATTCCCAACAAACTAAAACACGTACACTATATTTTCAATACTATAAAACTTAGAAAATTCCTATTGAACTCTGATTACAATATTTACATTCATCATATTTAATCACAATAGTGTTAAACATATAATAGATTGTGGGATTATTATAGCTCGCTACAGATTCTATTGCACTTCACCGATGTGCACAGAAGTTCTATAACAATAGTATTTTATGGTCCGTCACTAGTGTAATATTTCTATTATCACGACTGTCATCGTACTGATAATAGTGTTTAGAGAAACACCACTAAACATAGTGCATAGTTGCAAAAAATGGAAATAATTACAATGACTTGTTGTTAGTGGTATTACTTCTATATAACCGGCGAAGTGATATAAGTTGAATATGGCCACTGTTAAAGTAACCGAACAAAAAGTTATTCTGTGCGGGGAATACGGTGTCGGAAAAACGTCTATATTTAGGCGTTTTGCAAACAATACTTTCGTAACAAGTAACGATCGAAAATCAACGCTTGGTCTCGATAATATCGATAAAGAATATGTTGTCGAAGACAGACGAATACGAGTAATGTATTTACATGCGTATGCTGTTATCTCGTTAGCCTTCATTTTATAAATAAATGATTCATAAACATTTATATCAAACGTCTGTCATCGCTGCGATATTGTTGTTCTTTGTTCTATGTCTAAATTTGTTATTTTGCAGCTGCAATTATGGGACACAGGTGGTATGGAAAGAGTTGCATCGGTAACATCGAGCTACTATAAATTTGCAGAAGCTGCTATTTTAGTTTTTGCATTAGACAATCCGAGTTCATTTCACTTACTATCTCAGCATTTGCTCGAGATTGTTACATATGCTGAGAACGCAAAGATATTTCTGTGTGGAAATAAAAGTGACCTCGAAAGCACGGCTTCACAAGTAACGGATGCAGAAATGGAACAATTCTGGTTAGTTCTATAATTTAAGCGATATTATTAATGCGATACGTGTACATCAAAATTCGCTAACACATTATGTTCTGCAGTGAACAATGTCACAATCTAATATCTGGTATATATAAAACATCTTGTAAGACTGGAGAAGGAATACACGAAATGTTTGAAGATATAGCACAACATCTGGTTGAGGCTAACAGGTCACGCATGGAATTGCATGAAATGGATAAAGATAGGTTTAAAATTTCATATATCGACGAAGCTACAGACCCATCGTGCTTGTGCTAAATATTGAACATTAACAAGTGTAAATGAAGCAACATTTTTTATAACTTGGATAAACTCAACACACGGTTGTAAAGTGTGAAGAGCAAAGGTATCTTTTTATATCAATTATTACCATTAAAGATTTTCCTAAGATGGAAAACACTGCGAGCGTAAAAATGGGGAAAGGGGGAAAATATTAATATGTAATATTATGTACAATTATAATCAGACTTAAGATTCCCAAAATTAAAGGATTTCAAATAAAGATTTATTACATATTGAACAATATTTTACTCGATTTGAATTTGAACTATTTCTAAAACTTACGGTTCATATCATAGCATACTTAATTCATACTATGAGGTAGAACAAGTCATTAGTGTTGAGTCCATTTGATAGTTTTCAAATCAATTCCCTCTTGAACCATTTCCCATAATGGACTGCAAAATAAATAATTGAAATTAACTATTATTATTTAAGTAATATTTAAGGTACTCATTAAGATTATATACTTCAAATCACAAAACGTCCTATAACAAATTTATTCCCTCCGTTTATTATAACTATCGCGCTTTTAATACTCTTAGCCGAAAGTACGTAAATAAAATTAACGTGAAATAATTGACCAATGCTTGTGCATTAAATAAATGTTTGTAATGTAACTGGATAAACTGTACCTCATTTCTCGAAGTCTCTGAACATGCTGAATTGTATTTTTTGCGGTAAAATCAATTTCTTCCATCGTTGTAAACCGGCCAATACCAAATCTATATAAATAAGGAATCGTTACAACGTTACGTTAATATCATTTGATACTAAGTCACCATCGTAATTTACCTAATACTGGAATGTGCTAAATCTTCTGATGTTCCAATTGCTCTCAATACATAACTCGGTTCCAAACTGGCGCTAGTACAAGCAGAGCCACTGCTCAAAGCAATATTTTTTAATGCCATTAATAAGGATTCGCCTTCCACATATGCAAAAGATAAATTCACACAACCAGGGTACCAAGCAACGGCATCTCCGTTACGTATAACATGTGGTAAATTTGACGTTATTGTTTCGATCAAATGATTGGAAAGCATTGTGATATACTTGTGGTCATACTAGGAGAAAACAGCAAACTATTTAAAATCTAGTACATAACAAAATACATAATACTGTTTCTAGTAGAATTACCTCCATTTCTGTTTGCGACAATTCACAGGCTGCTCCCAAACCCACAGCTAAAGGAGCTGGAACAGTACCACTTCTCATACCTCTCTCCTGACCACCGCCACTTTGAATTGGTTCTACACGAACTCTTGGTCTTCTCCTTACATACAAAGCACCAACTCCTGAAAAATCAATAAGCTGCAATTATACGAACATGAAATATATAACAAATATTTATAACTCTTAGACAAATACCTTTTGGACCATATATTTTGTGACCGCTGATCGACATTAAGTCAATGTTCATAGCATTAACATCAACTGGCACTTTTCCAACAGCTTGAGCCGCATCTGTATGGAAAAACACCTTCTTTTTCCTACATATAGCACCAATTTCTTCAATTGGTTGTCTTACACCAATTTCATTATTGACCAGCATTATAGAAACAAGAGAAGTAGTGGGCCTAATTGCATCTTCTAATTGATTAAGATCAATAAGACCATTTGATTTCACTGGAATATAAGTCACCTCAAATCCTTCTGCTTCCAAGGCTCTACAGGAATCCAATACGCATTTGTGCTCCTGAAACAAGAAAATTATATATAAATAAATGCAGCAAAACATATTTAATATTAACAAAATATATTTAATATTTAACTAAACTTAACATACTATCTGAGTCGTCACAATATGATTTTTTTTGCCTTTGTAAAACCTTGCCACACCTTTTACAGCTATATTATTGCTTTCTGTTGCACCAGATGTAAATACAATTTCCTTTTTATCTGCACATATTAAATTTGCAATTTGCTATTGAAAATAAAATATCCAATTACTGTCTTTGCAAATCATAACTTGTAATATCATATGCAACAAAATGTAATAATGCTGGATATTAACCTTACGTGCATGTTCAACTGCTGTTTCCGTTTCCCAACCGTACATATGTGTTCTGGAATGTGGATTTCCATAGTAAGCAATAAGATAAGGCATCATTTTGTCTAATACTCGTGGATCCTGCATAAAAATTATAAATTTCATTATAAATACTTAAGTTAGATCATAATCTTTTATATTATATTTACCACTGGTGTAGTCGCTTGAGCATCTAAGTAAATAGCTCTGCCTTCGGCAGGACCCCTTTTGTATTCATCGGTAATAACAGCTGTAAGTCAAATATAAATTTATATACAATAGTTAATACAATATATATAATAATTTTACAAGATGCAATACTTACATTCATAGTCTGTTATTTCTGATAAAATTTGACTACTAGCGTGTACTGCACGACATTCCTTGACACGATTCAAGGTTGTTAATAAATTTCTCGTCGGTCGAAACATATTAATTTTCATATAAAACTCAGATCTGTCTTCAGTATTTATAAATTCCGCAACATGACATGTTCTAACCTTAAGTAACCTATCTGTTATTGTGCGTAATTTTGTTTAACTAGCCATTTACCTATACGAATATAAATACGGTAATTGTATTCTAATCTTTTTTAATATCGAATACGATGTAGTTGGTACTCTCAGGATTGATAATTACGTACTTATTAACGCTCACCGATTCAGGAGTATATTTTCGCATCAGAACTACTACAGAAAGTGGTGCAATTCTGTTCACATGTTTATCTATACATATACATATACATAACATATATACATATAGATGTATCATTTATAAAGATAGAAATGAATTACATCTTTATAGGTAAAGAAAGGCAACAGGGAAAAGACAATAGTTTATTAATTACAGTAAATGTGAAAATTATTTTTATTATTTCAGATTTTTCCAAAAGTACAAAAAATAACTTAAAGCACATGTACACGACGTGTAAGTAGTAGGACATAAAAGTACAAATTACATTAAATATGTTTATATAGATAGACAATTTTGGACATACAGTACATTGTACTGTATAGAAATAATCACAATCGTGAAATACTGATTAACATATTAAACCTATTGACGATCTTTCGATAGATTTAGCGAATCACCGATATCTGCTTGTGACTGCTGTTTTTTATGCATCGTTGTCATATCCAACATTCCTCCAAAATCTGTTTTAGAAATTGATAAATCTTCGGTTCCTTGATACTCGTTCGATCGATTGAGCTTCGTATTATCATTTTGTACTTCTATTTTCTTTCGATCGGTTGAATAGTCTTCTGCAGTGACAGAAAAATTTCTACAAGATTCTGAAGATCCCGTAGTTGATTTGAATTGCGATGATAAAGAATCAATCATCGAAAAATCGCTAGATTTACGTTCATTCCCTTCTATATCTCTCGCTGGAGAAATTTTACCGATTGGACCGAACAAATTGGCTATATTTCGCATATACGCAGACGGTGATGGTGACGACGTTCTTGTAAAATCTGCAATAGAAAATCCAGAGAGCTTTGCCAGGTCTGCAGTAGAAAAATTGGCTAATTTTGATAAATCTGAAAATTTGGTGATCTGTTGCGTTATGTCGGCTAAAGGAAAATCGGATGCCGTAGACGACCGCGTTTTACTGATACCAGTATCCGTTACAAGGGTATTGGATACCTTCGAAAAATCTGTTGGCGCAAAATCATAATCACATTTTGTATTTTTTACGGAAACAGTTAGTTCTCCGGATTGAAAACTAGGTATCACTTCCGATGAAGGTATATGTTGTTTCGATGTCGCAGAACTTCCGTCTTTCAGTTGCGTAATCGATGCGGTATCCGTGGTTATAATATTATCTTTCTTAATGTTATCTCTCGAAGTAGATGGTTGCATCACAAAAGATTTCGATGTAGGAGTAAGTATGGCACCGTCTGGTTTAAAGTTTACGGGCGTGAGGAAGACCGCAGCATTGTTAGGTGCAAGACCAACTCCCGGTGGAACTGCAGAAGGAACAAGAGATTCTGATGCCGGTACGAGCGGAAATTTGACGGCAAGAAATTCAGGTGTTGTTCCATCTTCAGATCCAGGACAGATCATTTCTCTAATTACATCCCAATAAGATCCATTAGATCGATTGCGTCCAGGTAATTTAGACGCCAGTGAAGACTGTTAATATTACGTGTATTTTAGTATCGTTTGCACTATTTTTTATCGATTTTTGTATACCTACCCTTAAACGTTCGAGGTAAGTTGTATTATTGTTAAAATTTGCAGTAAAATCAATACCTCCTTCGCTTTTGTAATATTCTATACATCTTCTCTGAAATAGCAGATACATAATGAACTAATATATAATATCGGATCGATTATTAAGCTAATTTTGGCATGTACATACAATCTCTTCTAACGTGTCTTGAGAGAGAAAGTGTTCCTGGGACAATGTGTAACTTAAAAGCATTGGCCTTGGATATTCGTGAGGTCGATTTTCAGGAGGCGGTAAAGACCAAAAAACATTAAAGTTTGACTCGTAACAGCTACCATCTGTGTTGTAAGGTGCTAAAAATATGAATGATTCTTTTGTCAGTTTTATGCATGAAGTTGTTAAAATAATTATAATAAAAAGTACTAACAGCATATTAATCCTACACACGGCGTATATCCATTGTCGCTAGGTCCTTTCATTTTAATTTGATAATCTAATTGAGAATCTACATCTCGAAGAGAAGGGGAAGCATGAGATCTAGGATGAGAATGATACCATCCAACCAAAGTAACACGCTTCCATTCCATAGCTCTGGCAATTTCTGTTTCAACTGCAGCTGCAGCTGACTTATCTTTGCCAGAATATCTACATGGAAAGGCAGTTGTTATGGATAAATCTAAAATACAAAATAAATGATATTTAAGTAATAGAAACGAATACTAACTACATGAAATTTTATAAAAATGATATTTACTGTGCGAATTAATATCCCAATGGCCACCTAGATAGCCGCATACTTCTTTATCCGTTAAATGGCAATGCAAATCTACCAATAAAGCTGCAGTAGTTGTTACTGTAACTAAAAAGGGCTGTATTTTTCCAAGCGTACTAAAAGAAGTAAGTTCTACCATCGTACTCATATCCCTAAAATATACGTAATCATTAATTAAAACATAAGCAATGTTTTCTAATATTCTTTTCTTACATGGCATGACTTCTTATCCCAAGATTTGCATGCTTTACTGGTACCCGTACAACTTGTATAGGAGGACTTGTTTGAATCTTTTCCAGGCTCTCCTCCATAGATTCAGCAGTTGCTGTTGTTTCCATTTCTCTCCTATTTCTTTTATACTTAAAATATTTTACTCTAATTAAAATTATAATTTTAAAAACAACGATATATTCATAGTTTTTCTCTTCTGTAAGTTATACACAGTAAATAATTTTATTAGTATCAACTCATTATCGCTTAATACAAGAAACTATATTACATTGCACAGTGGTATCCTTAAGTATTAATTAAACATTCACAAAACACTTAAAATCAAACATCGCTGTCATTACATTGTGTATTAGACTATTGAAAAAACTAGCCATTACCATCACCGGTGTTATTGGTAAAAAATAATACCAGGCCTGCCAAGCTTACGAACACAAAAGAGCAAATCTGACTTTCTTGGGGAAAATGGCAACCAAGAGGAACCGAGAGGTCCCTACCACCTGCGAAGTATCAGCGCATTGGTAATACGGTGACAAGCGGTACACACGAGGTCATTTTGAATAATTAATTATACGTTTTGTGGATATATTTTGTGCACTTTCATGATTGAACAATGGTCAGCAATGCATTATTTACATGGTACGATAATAAAACTTCATAAATAATTTACGGGTAATGAGTAATTAATTATTTCGTGTCAGCATTACGATACGTACATGAGCCGTCTATGTCAATTCTATTACGCATGCAAAGTGCAATATTTCGGCATTTTGGCGACGTAGTATGGTTCCTGAGGCCTTTAGAAACAAATTTCTATTAGGGTTTGATGCGTTTTGATGCCTAATAAAGCCAGAAAATCAATTTTTGTAGAATTCGGTCCAAAACGGTACAGGTGGCGCCATCTAGCGGCGAGCGGCGGAACTACGAAAAACTAAAATTTCGATTTTCTCAAAAACTAGGGACTTTTCCGCAATTCTGAGATATACAAATTGTTCCTTGTCGCCTACGGAATCGAACGAATCTAATTATAGCCTGCTAGGACCATTATTAAAGAAAATAGAAAAATAGCCCATTTTATGGACTAAAAAATTACCGCCCATCTAGCGGTGAAAGCTGGAACTACAAAAATATAAAAATGCGATTTTCTCGAAAATTAGCGAACTTTGAGTACTTCTGAGGCTCAGAAAGTGTTATGTGATCGCATTAGACGCAAAATAATGCAATAAAAGCTTTCTAAAGGCTGTAATAAAGAAAATAAAAAAAATGGCATTTTATGGAGAAAATTTGTGGCGCCATCTAGCGGCGAAACTGCGAACTAAAACGAAAAACCGTATGCCCGAACACGCA